ACAAAAAAAAAAAAAAAAAAAAAGAAAGTAGAATGGTGGGTGCCAGGGGCTGGGGGGAAAAATGGGGAGTGACTGCTTCATGGGTACAGAATTTCATGATGAAAAAGTTCTAGAGACTAGTTGCACAACCATGTGAACACAGTTAACACTACATGAAATTTACGTGTATTTTACTATAATTTTTAAAAATGTTCCAATAATTTAGCAAGTTAGTATTTGTGAAGCTCTCAGAATACTACCTGACATAAAGTAATTCTTTTTATAAGTTTTTATAAAAATAAACACAAAACCGACAGTGTTAAGGGGAAATACCAAGATCAAAACACAAGGCACGAGCTGTTACAATCATTGGAAACTAGAAAAAAAAAAAAAAAGGCAGCCACTGAGTTCTGGGCAGAGGCTCCCAAACTTTCTCAGTTCACAGGCCCTTGGGGTTTCAGTAATTTTTCAGTGCTCCCAAGTGGAAATAAGTACCTCACAGTGCCGATTAAGTATGCAGTTGGCCAAAAACTTAATGATCACTCTGTCCTGTGAACTTAGTGCCTGTGGGCACTGTACAACTTCCCAAGCCCGGGAATCACACTGGCGCCCACCACCTTCATCTGTCCCACAGGAGAAACTTGTTCTTTTTAATCACAGAAATCACCCCAAACTACCTCAAACTAGCAGTTTGCACTGTCTGACAAATGCCGCTGCTTCTCTCTAAAACTTAAGTTGCTGGGACAACCTGGCATAAGACTTGGGGACCCAGGTCTCAGTACAGGCATCGCTCCAGGACCAAAACTATCTCCAAGAGAAACCATACAGAATGGCTCCTACTGGCCTTTGGTTCCTTTATTATAGAAGTCTGATCTCAGTGGTACAAACTCAAAGCTGGCCAGCTGGATATTATTAAGGAGAGAAGACAACAGCTTAAAGTAGAGGCTTCAGTCCCTAACGATGACAGCTGCCATCAATTGTATGATCTCCTCTGTTATTCAGAGTAGCACTAATACCTTAGGTATTATTTTATAAATGAAGAAACTGAGGCTTAGAAATGGTAACTATCTCTAACTTGTGTCTGAACCCAGCCAGTCTAACTCCAACACTGGGTCCATTCTGCCAAGTTGCCTCATAATTTCTTAACTTAATAAATCAACTTTTAGCCCACATGAGAGCTTGCTCCAGAATCTCTACAATTTTACCTTTTCAATCAAGACAGTCACTAGCTAATTATTAAAGGCAATGACACTCAGGTAATCGGATCATTCACCAGAAAAATTCATGAGTTATGTGGTTGTTCATAAACCAGGGGATGGAGGAAAATCTGTTTGCAATTTGTTAATATCCTAAGAGCCCACATAGGGCCGGCCCGTGGCTCACTTGGGAGAGTGCGGTGCTGATAACACCAAGGCCACGGGTTCAGATCCCTTATAGTGATGGCCGGTTAGCTCACTGGCTGAGCCTGGTGCTGACAACACCAAGTTAAGGGTTAAGATCCCCTTACTGGTCATCTTTAAAAAAAAAAAAAAAAAGAGCCCATAGTATTCTCTGAATGAGATTAACCAATAAGAAAAACATGTCTCATTTGGGTAAAAGAAATTTAAATGTTTGTACTTTAAGTGGAAAAAAGAAAAACATCTAACTCTATGAAGCATATGGTTCTTTAAATCTAAGTAAATTAGTAGAATAAACAGTAAAGGGCCGGCCCGTNTATCCTAAGAGCCCACATAGGGCCGGCCCGTGGCTCACTTGGGAGAGTGCGGTGCTGATAACACCAAGGCCACGGGTTCAGATCCCTTATAGTGATGGCCGGTTAGCTCACTGGCTGAGCCTGGTGCTGACAACACCAAGTTAAGGGTTAAGATCCCCTTACTGGTCATCTTTAAAAAAAAAAAAAAAAAGAGCCCATAGTATTCTCTGAATGAGATTAACCAATAAGAAAAACATGTCTCATTTGGGTAAAAGAAATTTAAATGTTTGTACTTTAAGTGGAAAAAAGAAAAACATCTAACTCTATGAAGCATATGGTTCTTTAAATCTAAGTAAATTAGTAGAATAAACAGTAAAGGGCCGGCCCGTGGCTCACTCGGTAGAGTGCGGTGCTAATAACACCAAGGCCCCGGGTTCGGATCCCACATAGGGATGGCCGGTTCGCTCACTGGCTGAGCGTGGTGCTGACAACACCAAGCCGAGGGTTAAGATCCCCTTACCGGTCATCTTTTGAAAAAAAAAAAAAACAGTAAAAATGGTTCATAATAATTATCTCTAGGTAGTAGCATCAGTTTTGACTCCCTTTTATTTAATTCACATTTTCTAAATTCTCAACAATGAATGCACATTGTTTTGTAATTAAAGACCAGTCAAGTTGTTGCTTTTTTAAAAAAATCTTGATTTATTTTGAGTTTTTTTTTAATGGGGGTCATCTATGCTAAAAAGTAGAAGTTCTGAGAAATGAATTTGTCTTCAATATTGTCCCCACGTACACTTTAATTTTGTATTATGCTAAATCTCAATAATAACAACATAAGATGCCAACGTAATTTACTTTGGACAGATCCACAGCTTAATTCTTTCACTTTCGGGTCTGAAAATGAAAAGCTACAGCCTATGGCAAGTGACTGCAAAGCTGCTCTCCACTGTGGCCAGCAGAGGTCACTACTCGGACGGATCGTGCAGGCCAACACCCCGGCACCAGCCTGTCACTGAGGCTGCGTTCTTGTGTTAAGTATCAGCTTCCACTCTCTGATTCAGGCAGTTCATTGGAATGAGTAGTGAGCCCCTCTGCACAGAGTCATAACGCACAGAGCTTCAGAGAGAAGAGAATGCTCTGGTGCAGCAATTTTACTCTTTTCTATTTTATTTTGGTGCAGTAATTTTAAAATGCATTGTTCAGTGCCCCTCTGACTAGGGCACTTCTTTTTTTTTTTTTTTTCCTTTTTTCGTGACCGGCAACGGATCGCAACCCTCAGTGTCGCGCCCGTACCGGACCGGGACTGGCAACGGGATCGCAACCCTCGGTGTTGCGCTCGCACCTCGCTCAGCCAGTGAGCGGCTGGTCTGTATGTGGGATCCGAACCCTTGGCGGGAGCGCCACCGCGCTCCCAAGCGGCGCACTGTAGCAGTGCGCCACCAGGCCGGCCCTAGGGCACTTCTTAAAAGCAAATTCATGGAACTCACACCCCCAAATTCTGATTCAGTAGGTATGAGATGTCACCCAGGATTCTGCCTGATTCAAAGCTCCCAAGGTGATAAGACATGCAGCCTCGGGTGGGAACTACTCCGTACTAGACAGCACTGGTATTCTCTAAGGCACAGGTTAACAATTTAGACTTCTGTTTCCATTCTAACTTATACCCCCTTTTTTTTTTTTTTTGCTGGATGGTACAGGGATTGAACCCTGGACCTTGGTGTTATCAGCATCACATTTTAACTGAGCTTAACAGGCCAGCCTAGCCTATCATTCAACTGGAAATGTTACCATGAAATAGAAAGAGACTAAAATGTCAGGCTTAGTTACTTAAGAATTAGGCAACATAAGACAATATGGTATAAATATTAATAATGTGCAAATCAATGTTTCAATTGCAATCTAGAAAAATCCACCAATACTGTACTAAAATATGGATTTTAATTTCTCTGGATACTTTTGGATTCCTCAGTTTTAATTCACTGTGTAGAAAGGATAAACCAGTCTGAAGCCAAGTCCTGAGCACCCACATACATACAGTCAGGGGAATTTCATCCCTGAACCTCGATGAAACTGTAAAGTCAGTTCTACCACTATCAACTCCTCTTACCTCTGCTGTTTTATTACAGTGTCAAAACCAACAGTTTCCACAAGTTTATTTCCAATTGTAATAACTTCTTCTTTTCCATCTTCCTCTGGTCCATCTTCTAAGACGTAGCGGTTCTTAATTGCAGTAATAAAGTCTATTCCAAAATTTACCTTGTTCGGACGAATAAAGGATCCCCCTGTTGGGTGCCTGGAAAAGGAGAGAAACAGAACATAGTTTTCTTTTCTTTTCTTTTTTTTCCTTTTTGTCTTTTTTCGTGACCGGTAACGGGATTGCAACCCTCGGTGTCGTGTCCGCACCGCGCTCAACCAGTGAGCGGACCGGTCTCTATATGGGATCTGAACCCTCGGCGGGAGCGCCGCCACACTCCCAAGCGCCGCACTCTACCGAGTGCGCCACGGGGCCGGCCCAGAACATAGTTTTCTAAGTCCACCAAGGAAGGCCTTAAATACAATGTTCTGAAGGTTTTTAAAATTTTCCATATGGTGAAAAATCAAAATCAGAATAAATGAGAAAATAATACACTAAAGAAAAATGTATAATCAATACAATTGATCATAAAGGGTTATCGGCTTATGCAAGAATATAAAATCCCTAAATAAAGGACAAGAAATATGGACCAGATAATTCACATTAGTGGAAAGAGAAGTACTGAATCCATGCAAGAAAGTTCTACTTTGCTAATGATTAAGAATACAAATTCAAACAGTGCAATTACTTTCAATAAAACTGGCAAAAAATACAGACAAACCATAAAACCTCAAGGACTGCAAGGCTGGGTTTGTCTATTCCTATATAGCCATACTCCAGGGAATTTGTTAGCAGGCAATAATTCGAAAAAAAAAACAAACAAACAAAAAACTGCATTTACAAAGATTTTGTGTAATACTTGTTTGTAATTGAGGAACTCTGGAAACCATAAAAATGCCCAGCTGGACAGGCACTATTAAGTAAACCAGATAGATGAAGTCATTTCAGCATTCTTTCTGCAATACTTAAATCACTTGCAAAATAATGTTGAGATTTTTAAAATTGAGCACAAATTGTACGTGATACAATGATAAGAATCATATCTACATACGGACAAGGAATGGAAAACAAAGAAATCAAAACATTTGTGGGTGACAGAGTTAAATTCAAAATCTTTTATTTATTTATTTATTTATTTATTTATCATTTATTTATTATTTATTTATTTATTTATTTATTTATTTATTTATTATTTATTTATTTATTTATTTATTTATTTATTTATTTATTTATTTATTTTTAAAGATGACCGGTAAGGGGATCTTAACCCTTGACTTGGTGGTGTCAGCACTACGCTCAGCCAGTGAGCGAACCGGCCATCCCTATATGGGATCCGAACCCGGGGCCTTGGTGTTATCAGCACCGCACTCTACCGAGTGAGCCACGGGCCGGCCCCTCAAAATCTTTTAAATGATCACTTAAATATATTTTAAAAACTTAAATATGGGGATAAATATAGAAACATAGAATAGTTCACCACAATTTATATTCAGGTTTTATAGCAATTTTCAGTAAAAATCTCTAGCCGGATTTAATAGAAATATTAATTATATTGCTAAATGTAATGACCACTCTGTCAGACTTTCCGAGAGATTCAAACTAGGACTTTAAACCCATTAAACTTCAGCATTCCTTATGTTATGGCAATGACGCATTATTTTCAGGGAAATCTAATTATGCCTTATAAAGTTGTAAATGTTAATATTATAATTTGATAACTTAAGAAAATAAACAATGAAATATGAATTGCTCAAAATCGTATGATGAATACTATATTTCAGCTTATAAACATTCTCCGAAAGAAATGGGACCTTAGAAGTCACCATAATTAAAGGGGATGAAAACTAATATTTATGATAACTATTGTCAATATAAACGTTTATACTTTTTTCTAGGAAGTGGGTTCATGGTGATTACCAGATGGTAAAAAGAACTTGTGATCCCCCCAAAATTAGAACGGATGCCCCAGGTGAGAAGAGCCAGGAGGTAGGTAGCTGGACACTTGAGAGGGGGGTGTCCTGGGGGCCGAGGCAGCCAGTGAATGGCTGTGTCCAATGCCACTAGCGTACCCGTGTAAGGGCAGTGTGGGTGGGCAATGGGGCAAGCCCCCAATGGGGACAGTTCCAGAGAGTGAGGGGCAGGGAGCACGGTGGCCTCGTCCTCAGGAGGCTCACTGGAAAGAATACGGACAGTAGCTGAAGAGACACCATGGTCAAGAGAGGGAGATTTTTTAAGATGAGAGAAAAATATCAAACTTGTATGTCGATGAAATTAATCCAGTGGAGTGGGGGAAATTGATTGATGGAGGACGTTAAAATCCCCATTGCAAGGGCCGGCCCATGGCTCACTCAGGAGAGTGCGGTGCTGATAACACCAAGGCCACGGGTTCAGATCCTATATAGGGATGACTGGTTAGCTCACTTGGGAGAGCGTGGTGCTGACAACACCAAGTCAAGGGTTAAGATCCCATTACCAGTCTTCTTTATGCAGGGGGGAAAAAATCCCCATTGCAGCAAATCAAGTTTTGAGTTTGTACAGTTTGTTGTGATATCAGAGGATAACTGGCTACTGGAAGCTGTTCAGAAAATATTACATTGTAGCCCCGAAAAGGCTCATACTGTAAAGAAAACCATCCTAACAAACACAATTATATCACTCAGCTAAAGAGATTAAGTAAAGCTAGCACCATTTTTTTTTAAGGGATCTAACTAAAAGATTATCTAGCCCAGGGCTTCTCAATCTTAAAAAGAAGAAAGTCACCAGGAAAGCTACCTGGAGCCCAATCCCGAGAGGCTCATTCAGGGGAGTTGGGCTGGAGCCCAGGAATCTGCTTGTTTAAAGGATGCTTTGGGGATCCTGATGCAGTGTGCCCTGTATTGGGATAGAAGAAACTCTGATCTAACCCAGGCACGTTCCAGTTGGGGACACTGGGGTCTCCTGTTACAGAGGCAGCAGGGCCAAGACCAAATAACTTGGTTTTCTGACTACTGGTGCACTGTTCAGTGTTGCTTTGCCTCCCATGGATTTGTCACCCCTTTTCCCCTGGGTGACGGAGCCACCAAATATTACTCAAAGCCCATCTCTTCTGAGCAGTGAGAAGCCCCCAAAAGGAGTTAATCTCCTGGAACCCTCAAGATAGAGGCATTCCTTCCATTTGGGAAATTAGCCATGAATTGGGGTTCTCTTCCCACATTTATTCTCCAGACCAGGAAGTTACAGGAAGAGAACATAGGTGGGGTTTTGCTAAGCACAATTTAACAAGTTTAACAAGTTTACTTAGATTACTAATTTACAATAGAAGCTGGTAACAGACAAGCAAGGGGACATTCTGTAATGCAATTAAATCCATCCACTAACAAAAGCTTGATTTTAGCAAACATTCTCTTCTTACAGCAATTTCCCACTATCTTTATATATCAATCAGTAACCTGTCTGTCTTTGAGCCAGCAACCTTGGTGTGTTACAATTCTTTATCTTACAACAGAGACTATATAGCCTGGAGAAAATTTCCCATCCTTTGCAAGGTCAATATTTGAAACTGCAAGGCTTTGGAAAACCAGGCCCTGTGAAGTACATTTGTTTTATGCATACTTCACATCTCCCCCATTTTATTTATTTAAAAGAAAAAGCAAAACCTACAGATCAGGTTTTCACAGTTAAGACAAAGGCATTTAAAGCAAAGTTGGTATCATTTAGCATGGCAAGTCCTTTTAATTTACTTCAGGTGAGGACTGATAATGTCATTGTCTCAGAATGGCTGCACTGTCATCATACCAGGTGCTGTGAATTGGGTGTAATTGCCAGTTGTGGAAACTCTGGAATGGGACTCTGCTCCATACAATAGTTGATTCTGAGTCCAGAGAGTTTATGTTCACCTTTCCAGGACATTACTGTTTTTAAAGCATCTAGTCCTTTGTAAAATTTTTGATCAATTACAAGTCTTTTGTTAGGAACAGGATGTCTCATCCAAGTTACAAACACCCTCTTTAAGGCCAGGAAAATTTAGAGAGCTGCTTTTGTAGAGAAGATGTTATATTTCCCCCTTTATGATCAAGGCATTCCTCATAAAAGCATTGATGATCAATATCTTGATTGAAAAGGCCTTACTTTTCTTTTTATAAATCCCCTGGGGCTGGGAAGACTGTTTCCCAGGTGGTGATCTGTCCCACGTGGGGAGGGGGGGGGATGAACAGCAGGATGAAGCAGCAGTTAGGCCAAGTTAAGGCAATATGAAAGAGGCGTAAGCAACTTAGAAGTGAGACATGCTATGTTATATCCAAAGTTTTAAATTATATCCTGTTATAAAGACACAGAGTTAATTCTGACTAAATTTATAAAAATAGCCACATTGCCATAATAATCATAAGGATACTTAAGGTTATTAAATTTGGGGGGATCAAATAGGGAGAAAACAAATACTTCTATCTCTGTTTTAAATGATATTTTACCAAACTGTTGTTAGTTATAGATAGCTTAAGACAGAGTTTTTTTTTTAATTTGGAAAACAAAACATTAAGAGAACTAGCAGTATTTCAAAATAAGGAAATTGTAAAACCCATAATTCTTTTTAATTAGTTCACTAACTTTTGTTGTTTTGACCTTTGTGAACAATTTCACAAACCCATCAGTTTCTTCATTAGAATTTTGGAACTTTAGTTTAAAGCTATGAACTCAAAGTTTGTCAAGAAACTGTACCTATCAGAGTTTTTTCATGAACTATTTGAAGACATAACATCTTAAGATTATAAGTAAACCAAGATTATGACCGGTAGCATTTATATCAAGACACAGATATTTAAGAACCTTACAAGATTTTGGAACACAGATCCATAACACCTTCAGTACTGACAATGCTTTCCCATATAGTCTAATTTATTAAATAAGCCAATTAGTTTTGATACACTTTTTATATATCCTTTGAGAAGCTCCAGGGCCCTTGGAACTCCTCCAAGTTAGTTTAAACCACCAAAAGGTTGAGCTTTCAGAATTTGGTTTTGGAAAGCTTTGTTAAATAATAAAAGGCTTAAAACACTTAGTTGAATAAAATTACAAATTATTACAAAAAGTAAAACCGAAGTGACAGGGTTTCAAAGGCAGAAAGCACAAGAAATCATGAAATAAGTTTTCTTAAACCAGTAATCTAAGGGACAAAGAAAACCTTTCACAGTTTTGTATTAAGAGCAGTCAAGTATGGGCCGGCCCGTGGCTCACTCGGGAGAGTGTGGTGCTGATAACACCAAGGCCATGGGTTCGGATCCCATATAGGGACGGCCAGTTAGCTCACTGGGTGAGTGTGGTGCTGACAACACCAAGTCAAGGGTTAAGATTCCCTTACCGGTCATCTTTAAAAAAAAAAAAAGAGCAGTCAAGTGAAAAGACCTCTAGTAATCCTGTTTGATTAGTAAACCCAGGCAATGAAGTGTGCTGATAAGAACATTTTTATACATTCAGATTAGTAAATAGGCATCCGTTTATCAGAGCAAATTATACAAAGCCCAGTTTGAGTTTTAGCTATTTTTATCAAATACAGATTTATGGTTTCCCAGCCAAAAATTTGGTGTATTAGATCTATACCCTTATCAGTTAATGTTAACTAGGGCCTATGCAATATTGGGCATATGTCTCTTTTCACTAACCATTTTAGGTCTCAGGTTTCCACATGGCATTTAAAGCCAAGTGGAATCCAGAGAGGCAGAGGGCGATATTCACAAAGATAATGTCTAAAAGATATTGTTTCTCTCAGCATGGCCAGGAGGCAGAGCTGAGATAACAAGGAGACATATTGACCTAGAGACAAGTTTAGGTAAAAGGTTTAAATCAAATTTTGAAAATATATTTATCAAAACTTTAGAAAATTTAAGTTACGTGAACTTGAAAAGTATACTTATTTAATGAGCATGCATTAATTATAAGCCAATTTGGTACATTGCACATAACACAATTACACATACAGACATGAACATATAGACATAACATACAGCTGAAACACACATACATGCCAGACGTAAACAAGAACAAACAAGGATCTTATAGGTTTTGTTCAAGATGTGAAAAAAGCTCGCTAGTAAAAAGGACAGTCAGGTTTAGATTGTGTTTTGGTTCTTTTGGTGAGGCCTCAGCCTGCTTAAAAGAAAGCAAGATAACAAATTTACATTGTAAAGTAAAGCATGCAAGCCTTTTCAAGAAGATGCAGAGAACTTTTTCTTCCTTTTAAGAAAATACCATAGAATTGTACCATAGGATTTTGTGAAGAAATACATAAATGAGACTAGAAGAGAATTTAGAAGTCTGTTTAAGATAACAAGCTGGATGCCAGAAAATTTGAGACCATCTAGCTAAACAGGTAGGTTTTAGGTTAGTTTTTGTTTCTCAAATGAGTTACTGAGCTTAAGGGATGAGCTATTGAAAGCTATTTGACTGCTGAAGTTTTTAAATTTACCCCAGATCAATTTGGAGCTTGTCATTATTTTCAGTACTGGTAGTCTGATGTAGGTCAGAGTGGAAGTGTTTATTGGCACCATCATCACTGGTGGTCTGATGTGTACCATCCCCAGTTAGACTGATGGAGGTGTGATGGCGAGGTATTGAGATTTGGGGATCAGATTCAATTCCTCATCTGGTTTTGGGTTCCACATGTGGTTTAACAGCCTTAGCAGGAATCCATAGTGGGCCTGTGGGTGAAAGAACAGACAGATACCCTCTGCCCCATGTTAACAATTCAACAGGTCCCAACCATTGCAGTCCTGTTGGCAGGTGGCGGTATAAAACCAAGAGTCAAGGTCTCTTTTTAGGAGGTAGAAAGTGCCATTTTGTGGCTGTTAATTTTTGAGAGTTACAATTAAAAAATTTAGTGTAAACAGAGCTTTAAATACCTCTTCACAAGAGGCCATTCCTATATCTATATTACCCCTCCTTTGTTTACTTATTTGAGATTTAAGAAGACCATTAAGTCTTTCAACAATTGCCTGGCCAGTGGGGTTAAATGGGGTTCTTGTGACATTTAATGTTCCAGTTGTCACAGAATACTTGAAAGACTTTGGAGGTGTATGCCGGTCCATTATCTATCTTAATTTGATTTGGAATCCCCATAGTGGCAAAGGCAGAAAGACAATGTTTTTTAACATGTTTAGCAGTTTCTCCTGTTTGGGCAGTGGTGTGAATAAGACCAGAGTAAGTATCAACAGTAACATGTAAATATTTAAGACATCTGAAAGTAGAATAATGAGTGACTTTCATTTGCCAAATTTCATTACCTTTTATTCCTCGAGGATTAACTCCTCCAGGGAAATTAGATTTAGAAAACCTCTGACAATCGGGACAAGCATGAACAATATCTTGAGCTTGCCTGTACAAGATCTGATGCATGTTAGCCAAAGCTTGTGCACCCTGATGAAAAAACTGATGAGAATCAATAGCTTTCTGTAACACATTATTATACATAACAAAGTGATCAACCATATCATTTCCAATTGATAAAGGGCCAGGAAAACCAGAATGAGAATGTATGT